AGGAGTTCGAGATCAGCCTAGACAACATGGTGAGACCTTGCTCTATAATAAAATTTAAAAAATTAGCCGGGTGTGGTGGTGTATGCCTGTAGTCTCAAGCTACCTGGAAGGCTAAGGGAAGGATCCCCTAAGCCTAGTAAGTCGAGGCTGGGTGATTGTGCTACTGCACTAAATTTAGCCTGGGCAACAGAATGAGACTCTACTCAAAAAAATAAAAAATAAAAATCTGAGATTCACAGCTGCCTTACTTCATCTAGAAGCTTTGCTGAATCCTGCTCCTGAAAAACTGTTTTAGGTGTACAGAATAAATCTTTCATGCAAACACCTCGTCAGTTTCTAAAAGGATATGACACTGGAACTTCAAGTTTACAAAACAGTTTGCCAAACTTTTTAAGTGCTCTTGCTACTACTAAATGCATAGGCAGGAGAATTCTGTCTGTAACATAACATTGTAACATTGTAAGTTAGGAAGGTTATGGGGTAAAGAAATGGAAAATGTTACCAAATTGTGTTACACAAATAACGTATACAGCTGGGCTCGTTGGCTCAGCCTGTAATCCCGCGCCTTTGGGAGGCTGAGGTGAGTTGATTGCCTGAGCCTGCGGGTTCGAGACCTGCCTGGGCAATTTGGCGAGACCTCATCTCTACAATAAATCAAAAATGAGCCGGGCGTGGTAGTGCGCACCTGCAGTTCCAGCTACTTGGAAGACTGAGGTGGAAGGATCGCCGGAGCCCAGCAGGTTGAGGCTGCAGTGGCCGGGAGCGGCCACTGCACTCCAGTCTGGGTGACAGAATGAAAGTCCAACTCAAAAAAAAAAAAAAAGGAAAAGAAAAGAAAAGAAAACCATCTTCCCCACGCCTCTGGGAGGCTGGGGTGAGTGGATTGCCTGAGCCCGCGGGTTCAAGACCCGCCTGGGCAACTTGGTGAGACCTCATCTCTATAATAAATCAAAAAATTAGCCGGGTGTGGTAGTGCGCGCATGTAGTTCCAGCCACTTGGAAGGCTGAGGCAGAGGGATCACCGGAGCCCAGCAGGTCGAGGCTGCGGTGGCCGGGAGCGGCCACTGCACTCCAGTCTGGATGACAGAGTGAGACTCTAACTCAAAAAAAAAAAAGAAAAGAAAACCATCTTCTCCAATAATTTTCAGATTCTGTTCTCATTCGGGAAGAAGAAAAGAATCCTTGAATGTGTAGGTTAAACCCAAGCATGGGATGTCTCAGGCCTGGGAAAGAAAGTCAATTCTTATCTAGTCCTATTCCATGCCAAAGCCTCCAGAAACTTAGCTCCAACTGCCCGGTGAAATCTGGGGCTGGGGAAGGGATGAAGTTATTTGCCAAAATGGTTAAGAGAGGGTCAGAAATCTCTCTGGCAGAAAATATTCTGTAATTGCAGAACTAACCACTAAATACTTTTATAAGTTTGAAGACGGCTCTTCTTGGCTCACAGATTTAGACATTAATAATAATAGGTGGTGGCTCAAGCCTGTAATCCCAGCACTTTGGGAGGGTGAGGTGAGGGGACTGCCTGAGCTCACGGGTTCGAGAACAGCCTGGGTAACTTGATGAGACCTCATCTCTACAATAAAAATCAAACAATTAGCCGGGCGTGGTAGCGCACGCCTGTAGTTCCCGCTACTTGGAAGGCTGAGGTGGAAGGATCTCCTGAGCCCACCAGGTCGACGCTGGGGTGGCCGTGCGTGTGCCACTCCACTCCAGCCTGGACGACGGGAGTGAGACCCCAACTAAAAAAAAAAAAAAAAAATTGGCAACATTTATTGCAGGTCATATTCTCATTGTGCTAAGTATTTTACATATGTTGTCTCATTAATGTACATATATTTCCATTCAACTCTCTGAACAGATGCTTGTAGCTTTCAAATTTACTGTTTCCTAACACCGCCTGTATCCCTATATCCTCTTAGGAGGAATGGGGCAAGTCAATTTCAACATGTGTGCGTTATGCTAAATCCATTTACACGGGATGACTACGGAAGAGGCCTCACACCTGTAACCTTACCACTTTGGGAGACTGAGGCGGGAGAATCGCTTGAGCCCAGGAGTTCAAGACCAGCCTCCGCTCTACAAAAATCAAAAAATTAGCGTAGCATGGTGGCATGTGCCTGTAGTCGCAGCTCTTTGGGAGACTGAGGCAGAAGGACCGTCTGAACCCATAAGGCCCAGGCTGCAGTGAGCTGTGATCAAGCCACTGCACTCCAGCCTGGGTGACACAATGAGACCCGACAGGGAGAGAGGGAGGGAGTCAGATGGTCAAAAACGTAAGACGCGGAAACGCGGAGGCGCGCACCTTCCAGCACGCCTTTGGGATGCGCCTGGCGGTGGGGCGAAGTTGCTGGAAAGGGCAGGTCTCTTTTGCAGATGAGCCAATGAGAGGGCTGGTTCTGGGAGCCGCACGTGGTGTGGCCAATGGGCTCAGCCCATGAGGCCACCGAGAGGGCCGGAAACGAGCGTGCGGCACGTGAGTTCTCAGGCGCGGCGAGCGTGTTGAGCGCGGTGTTCCCGCGAGGCCCTGCGAGCTGGGCGAGAAGACCGCGACGAGGCCACGGGCGTGGGAGGCCAGGCAGGCCAGAGTCCCTCCGGGACAGGCTGCCCGCGGCTTTGGCTGAAGCGCGCGGCGCG